CATTGGAATCTTGACTGAAGATTTTCCATCTACTCCAAACTTCTTGATGAGATCTCTGGTGTACTTTCCTTGGTTGATAAAGATGCCTTCTGGTACTTGTTTGACTTGCAATCCAAGAAAGTAACTGAGTTCTCCCATCATGCTCATTTCAAACTTCTTCTGCATAACTTGAGAGAATTTCTTGCATAATTCTGGATTAGTGCTTCCAAAAATAATATCATCAACATAAATTTGCACTAACAGAATATGATTAGCAACAGAAATTTGAAAAAGAGTCTTGTCAACCTTTCCTTTAGTAAACCCATGGTTTACCAAAAATAGAGACAATGTGTCATACCAAGCTCTGGGAGCTTGCTTAAGACCATAGAGGGCCTTTCTGAGCTTGTAGACACAAGAAGATTGAGTAGGAATGACAAAACCTGGAGGTTGTTCAACATAAACTTCCTCTTCAAGTTCTCCATTCAGAAATGCACTCTTGACATCCATCTGGTAGACTTTGATGTCCTTGTAGGCAGCATAGGCTAGAAATATCCTGATTGCTTCCAGTCTTGCTACAGGTGCAAAGGTCTCATCAAAATCTATGCCTTCTTCTTGACAGTATCCCTTTGCTACAAGCCTTGCTTTATTCCTTACAATGTTGCCTTCTTCATCTGCTTTGTTCTTGAATACCCACTTGGTTCCAATGACATTCTGATGCTTTGGTCGAGGAACAAGTTTCCATACTTCATTCCTTTCAAACTGTGTCAGCTCTTCTTGCATTGCATTGATCCAATCTGAATCTTCTAGAGCTTCTTCCACACACATTGGTTCCATCTGGGAAATACAGCAGGTGAACATGGCTTCTCTTCTTAATGCAGATCTGGTCCTTACTCCACTGGTAACATGACCAATCACTTGATTAGGAGGATGGTCTCTTAACCAAGTTAGATCAGGTTCTGAAAGTTGCTGTCTAGGCAACTCTGATGGTTCATCTTCTGATTCTTCATCTTCATCTTTGTCTATCAGAATTTGATTAGTAGTGGAAGTTGAGAATACAGGATTGATGGTGACCTCTTCTGATGGTTCTGAAATCTTGTCTTCTAGATTAATCTTCTGCAGGGTTTCTGATAGTTCTTCTGCAGAGGTGCTATCATCAAACTTGACATGAATGGATTCTTCAACTTGTATAGTTCTCCTGTTGAGTACTCTATAGGCTTTGCTTGAGCTTGAATAGCCTAAGAATACACCTTCATCAGTTCTTTCTTGAAATACCTTCAGATTATCCTTTCCATTGTTTAGAATGTAGCACTTGCATCCAAACACATGGAAATAGCTGATATTTGGCTTCCTTCCTTTCCACAGCTCGTAGGGGGTCTTCTGATGATTCTTGTGGATCATGCTTCTGTTCTGGGTGTAGCATGCAGTGTTGATTGCTTCAGCCCAGTATCTGATGGGTAATCCTGATTCAGCAATCATAGTCCTTGCAGCTTCTTTCAGTGTTCTGTTCCTTCTTTCTGCAACACCATTTTGTTGAGGTGTCCTGGCTGCAGAGAGTTGATGGAATGTGCCATTCTGATCACAGAAGTCCTTGATCACTTTGTTGACAAATTCAGTTCCTCTGTCAGATCTGATTGTCCTGACCTTCATGTTCTTCTCAGTCTGAAGTTGCTTTAACAGAGATGGCAACTTCTGAAGAGTTTCATTTTTCTTTGCTAGGAACACAGTCCATGTATATCTTGAGTAGTCATCAACCATAACAAGAGTATATCTTTTTCCACCAACACTGGGAGTTTCAACTGGTCCAAATAAATCCATATGGATCAGATTTAGAGGACAAGTAGAAAGATCTCCAGCTATGGGTTTGAATGAGGTCTTCACTTGTTTGCCTTTCTGACAAGCACTGCAGAGGGTCTCCTTCTTGTAGACAATGTCAGGCAGACCATCTACAATGTGTTCCCTTGCCAGTTTGTTGATGGTTTTGAAATTCAGGTGGCTAAGCTTCTTGTGCCAGTCCCAGCTTAGCTTTGAATTGTCCTTTGCTATCAGACAGGTTCCATCTTTTGCTGTTTGCCAGTCAACAACATAGATGTTCTTCCTTCTTTTGGCTGTAAGAACCACTTCTTTGGTTGTCTCATGCTTGACATAGCATAAGATCTTGGTGAATTCAACTGTGTAGCCTTTGTCACAGAATTGGCTAGCACTCAGCAAGTTGAACTTCAGACCCTTGACATATGAGACATCATCAATGATTATCTGGTTCTTGATCAGCTTTCCTCTTCCCTTTGTTTGACCATCCTTGTCATTTCCTCCAAAAGTGACTCGGGGTCCATTGATTTTCTGGAACTCTGATAGGCAACTCTTGTCACCTGTCATGTGCCTGGAGCATCCACTGTCAATATACCATTCTTGTTCTGAGATGGCTCCAGCACACAGTTCCTGCAAGATTAAAAGGAAGATTTAGGTACCCAAGCAATGTTGGGTCCTGGGGGGTAATGTAGTCTTGGTAGTTGGTACCATTTTGGTCTCATCAACTGAAACCTTGGTGGATGGTACCCATTGTCCACCTGGTAGTCGTAGTAAACAGATGTATGATTCACTTTGGGCAGATGCTTGTGAGGATCATGCTTTCTGTTTGCATACTTTTGCATAGCCTTCTTTGTTGGAAAGAAGTCCCATATGCTATCAAGATCAGAGGAGCGCTTAACTTTAGGCTTCTGAGGTTGACCAGACAACCTCTTCTGCCTATAGTTAATCTTCTCTTGATATCTGCCTTTCTGATAGCAGTTTCTGATACCATTGTCATGAGATTGTCTGATTGGATTAGGCCTTTGATTATTATTTTTCTGAAAACTCTTCCTTTTGTTTGAGTTTCTGCCAGGTTCATTAGTTTTCAAACTGTGTTTTGGTTTGGCCTTTAGAGTTTGTTTCTCTGGTGTGACCTTCTCATGAACAACTTTAGTACCAGAAGTACTAGCATGGCAAATGGGGCTCAGAGTCTGTGGCACTATGACCTTTTTAGCCTTAGCAACTTTGGTGCTAGGCCTTACAGAAGGCTCACCAGACTCTGGTTCAACATATCCAAGACCAGAGGTGAAGTTATGAGAGTCACCAATATTCTTCATGGAAGATTGCATCTTCAGAAGACTATTATATCTACTCTCAAGTTCCTCAATGTCTCTTATTCTTTTCAGAAGAGACTCATTTTCAGCCTTCAGTTTATCTCTTTCCTCAGTTAAGAGATTAAGTTTGCACTCAGTCTCTTTCCTTAGATCAGAGATATCAACTTTCAGCCTACTGTTCTCATCTTTAACAAAAGAGTAAGTGGCTTGGATAGTTTGGAACTCTTCCCAAAATGATGACATTGGATCATCATTTAAGGCTGTGCCTACCGAAGAAGAAACAGAGTCAGAAGTAGAGCATACCTCATCATCAGATTGTGCCATGAGGCAAAGGTCTTCAGTTTCTGCATCCAAGCAGCAGAAAGCTTCATCAGAGTCAGAGTCTGAACTGGACTCTGATTCAGAGAGTGGATCTCTCTCAGCTTGCTCTGAGACGAGTGCTCTTCTTCTTCTGTGTTGATCTTCAGGCTTCTTTTCTTCTTCGTGTCCTTGCTTCTTGGACACTCTGGGGTAAGAGCAGTTTGCTTTGAAGTGCCCAGGCTGTCTGCAGTTGTAGCAGAGGTACTCTCCATTGCTTTCAGAAGATTTGGTCTTCTGATGTGGTCTTCTGATGGAAGATGGACTCTTTCCATCTTTCTTCATAAATTTTCTGAATTTTCTGGCAAAGGCAGCCATATATTCATCAGATAGAAGAGTTGAGGGATCAAAATTTGTAGCCTTAGAAGTGCTGGCAGTAAGGGCAGTTGTGGTTCTCTCATCTGGCACTTCTTCTTTCTCTTCAATCATCTCGAACTCATAAGCTTTGAGATCTGAGATCAATCTCTCTGTGGGGTAGGTCTTGATGTTCTTGCTTTCTTGGACTGCAATCACCTTCATCTTCCAAGCTGAAGGCAGTCCCCTGAGGATCTTCATGTTGACCTCTTTGATGGTGAGCTCCTTTCCAAGCTCAGAAATTTCACTGATGAGAATCAGCAGTCTCTCATGCATCTTAGCAATGCATTCTTCTGGCAGAAGTTTGAAGTCATCAAACTTCTTCATTGCAATGGTTAGCTTGTTATCTCTTTCTTGTTCATCTCCTGCTCCTATCTCATCAAGCTTGTCCCAGATTTCCTTAGCAGTCCTGCATTTCTTTATTCTATTGAAATATCTTTCATCAATAGCTTTGTAGAGAATGTCCTTGGCTATATTATCTAGGTTGTACTGCCTTTTCTCTTCCTTGGTCCATTCTGACCGAGCTTTCTCAATCATCTGAGGTAGATTGTTGTCTAAGGTATGCGCAGGGTTGACCTTCATGAATTGGATAAAAGGTCCATTCTCCAAGACTTCCCACATTTCATCATGCAGGGCACAAAGATGAGCTTTCATCCGGATCTTCCAGTCATCATATTTCTGATCTGTGAACATAAGATGCTTTGCAAGAGAGTTATCCATAATAACAAATAAATAGAGGCTAAGAACAAGTGGATCTTTGTTCAGAGAGTAACCTAAAAGATTACAAGAACAAGGAGGCTCTGATACCACTTGTTGGTCCCGTTTAATATGGTAATCAGTCTAGAGGGGGGGGGGGGGGTGAATAGACTGATTGGTTTTTCAAATTTTCTCTAAGTCCAAAGTGACTTATCAGAGAAGGTCTGATTCTGATGGCAGAGAAAGCCTGGTTCTGATATCAGAACTGGCCTCGGCAGCGGATTCTGATCTGTCCGGGTAGCCTCAGAAACGCTAAGGCAAATGCCTTTCTGATAACTCTGAAAACAAGATCTGCTGAACACAGATTCCAAGTCTTAGAGTTAAGCAGTTAATATCCTAAGTGCAAGAAAATAAATTGCAGTAAAGTAAATGACACCGGATATTTTTATAGTGGTTCAAGGAACAACTCGTTCCTCTAGTCCACTGTTCCACTAGCTTTGAAGTAGATCGGTTACAAAGCTAATTCCTAGCACTTAAGAAGTTCTCCACGCCTTCTTCAAGCCTAGTTGTCACCCGGGATGCAATCCTGCTTCCTGATGACTGGTCCTTTCACTCAGCTTCCCGGAAGTATCACCACTTCACTACTGCAGTTACTTGGACGCCCTTCTTTTCAGAAGATCCTTTGAAAAACAAAGTTTTTCCTCCAACTTGCTTCGTCACAAATGATGTTTGATGAAGTTCTTGAAGAGTTGAAGAACAGGATGAACTTTGCTCGTTTGTTGGGGATGAGAGATTTGGAGTTTGAATCTTCCCAACGTAGTAGTTATGAAGGTTAAATCTCAAGAAGTATGTTCAGGAATGGATCAAGAATTCTTGGCAAAGTTAGTTTTCCAGTTCTTCGGTGAGTAGCTTATATACTGGGGTTGTCTGCCCGTTGGAGGAGGAGACAACTGCATTAAATGCGCGTACAGTTGACTTGACCGCCGTTTTGGAAGGTTTCTATTTTTATAATATATCTTCCCGGATTCTTTGGTCAATCATTTGCAATCAATCCTTCAGCGCATCAGGCTCATTTAATGTGCATTAAATGCTTTCCTTTCATGCACAGTCTTCTAGCCGTTGGATGTTTTTACCCGTTGGATTCATAGCTGTTGGATGTTGCTTGAAATCTTCTAAGTGTTAGTCGGGCTCTGATCAGGCTCTTCTGATGTGTTGGATTCTGATGGCTTTCTGATGAGTTGAGTTCTGATGGACTTCTGATCTCTGACTGAACTCCAACTTTGACTCTGATAGGTCCGCTGATGAGTACCTCTGATCTGTAGTTCTCATCGGCTATCAGATGTCCAAGTTTATCAGCAACTCTCATGGTGCAACTCTGATGGACTTCTGCTAAGAGAACTCTGATGGGGCAGTTCTCATAGAGCAAGTCTGGTCGAGCAGTTCTGATGCACTTCTGATCTGATCCAAAAAAGAGCAACTCTGATCGTCGACTATACTAATACTTACAATTGAAAAGTCTAATACATAAAATCTAATTTGGGGGTAATCTAACTTTCTAATCCTATAGCATCATCAAAATCTAATTACATTTATTCCTTACAACAACATTGCATCAGAGGTAGCCAGTGTACACACTGTTCTCTTCTCTCAATCTCTGACCCTCGCTGCTCAAGACAAGGCTATTCAGGAGCTATCTGATGCTGTGGATGATCTCCAATGGTCCTCTGATAAGCATGCTGAGCATCTAACAGATGTAGAGGACATCTGCAAAACCTTGAAGGAATTTGATATCAAATTGATAAACAGTGGAAAGGACAGAGATCACAAGCTGACTCTGCTAGAAGCTACTACCAAGGATATCCAATCAGCTGTTGGCAAGCAAAAAGAGACTCTAGAAGGGCTGGCTTCTGATAAGTCATTTTGGACTTAGAGAAAATTTGAAAAACTAATCAGTCTATTCACCCCCCCCCCCCCCCTTTAGACTGATTACCATATTAAACGGGACCAACACCTTTGAGGCACGATCGTGTCTGCCTTAGGCACGATCGTGCCTGGGTTGGGAAAATCCTGGGGAACCACTGACTTGGAGGCACGATCGTGTCTGCCTAAGGCACGATCGTGCCTGGTTTGGAGAAAAACCTGGGCAGCTACTGCCTTGTAGGCACGATCGTGTCTGCCTTAGGCACGATCGTGCCTGGGTTGGGGAATTTTTCCTGGGCAGCTACTGGCTTGGAGGCACGATCGTGTCTGCTTTAGGCACGATCGTGCCTGGGTTCCAGCCGCCTGAAGTAGCCCAGAATCCCCCGGTTCGACCCCAAAACCTTGTGCAATGATCCTAACGATTAGTAACCTTAATTTATGGACTAATTAAGGACACAACACTAGTATACGAGGGGCAATACCTGCAACGGAGTCCGGGTTAGCTTGAGCATCCGCCTCCGTCATCGCATAGACCCTAGCCTGGGTTCTTCCTTGGTTCACGGATGGCGCGTTGCTCGTGCTTGCTCCCCCTTGCCCTCTGCTTGCTTGAGAAGCCCCGGTCTGATTCCGTGTACTCGTCGGACCACTGCTTGGTCCCGATGTCCTTGCCCCGCCCAGTTGTGGACAATGCGCCTTCAGATGCCCGACATCCCCACATTGAAAGCATCTAGGGGGGTCGCGACATTTACCGGAGTGGTTCTTTTTGCAATTGTTGCAACGAGTTACCACCGAGGTTTGTGACCTCGAGCCTTGCCCACTCGGGCCTTGGTTCCCCCTAGACGGTGGCGGTGGTGCACGGAAAGATCCCCCTCCATGGTTCCCCTTTTTGTTGGAACCTTGGGAGCCGTGACTCTCCCATTTTCTCTTCCTTGCCTCCTCGGCGTTCTTTCGTTTTCTTTCCTCCCACTCCTTCTCTCCTTTCAGGCCTTGTTCGACCACTTGACTAAACGTCATATTAGGCAATTGTGTTGCCCTCTCGCGTATGTCAAGGTCCAAGGCATCCCAGAAATGGTTCACCATCCGGTTTTCATCACATATGTACTCCGGTATGAATTCCGCGAGTTCCCTGAATTTGTGTTCAAGTTGCCTCACCGTCATCGTGCCACCTTGGGTCAGGAGGGTATACTCTCTCCTCTTATTGTTCACCTCAAAATCAGAATAGTATTGGGCAAAGAACTCCTGTCGGAAATCCTCCCAAGTCACGGTATTGCCATACTTTCCTTTGGCTCCGTCCCACCATGTGGATGCCATCCCTTCAAGCAACCTCACCGCCACCCTTAGTTTAAATTCGGGGGTGAGTTGCATATCAAGGGCTGCTTCGTTCAACCTCTTGATCCATTCCGCGGCGACCGAGATGTCACCCGCTCTGTTGAAGGGTTTGCACCCCAAGTCTCGTGCCTCTTTGAGGTATTTGGAGATCCTTATGATCGGACCTCCATCACCCCGGCCCCCATGTGGTTCAATGTGGGCCCTAGAGTCGCCATGGCTTCTTCCTCTTGAAGCCCCTCCCGAAGTTCGCCCTCCTCGGCGCCTTCGGCGTTCCCTCCTTTCTGCGCGCTCCCGCTGATATTGCTGGAGCAGCGCCTCAATTCTGGCTAGGGAGTCATTCTCCCCTTCTTCATCACTTACATCATCGTCATCCCCTTCGTAAGGGGTCTCAACCGGCTCGGTCTCCGGTTGGTAAGTCGAGTCCTCATAGGACCAGTAGGTTTCACTTTCTGTGTCAACATGACCGTCACTCACGGTCTGTGATCGGCCTCCACGGCCAGCTCCTCCAGATGCCCTAGAGGTCCTTCGATTGCCCTGTCCAGTCTCCACTGGTACACGGCCCGTCGGGTTTCTCCTAGTAATCCTGCCACCACGGTCCATTTCTGAAAGAAATTTGGAAAGAGTCGTTAGACTCGTATCAAATGTCAATTCACGGATAGGTACTTAAGACACATTTTGGCTCGAGTCACCGCCATACCAATTGCTAAGGGTACCATCTTAACAATTAGAGACCTTGCAACTCAAGTACCAAAAGCTCTCCAAGTACAAAACTTCTATGCTCATGGTTTTCAAAATCTTTTCAAAGAGAGAATTTTGAGACTTCATTATGAAGTTTATGGACTAAGGCTCTGATACCAACTTAATTGTCACGCCCCGGACCTACCCGGACACGTCAACAACCCGCCGTACAATACGAATAGTCAACCGCAGTCCAACACATTCATATTATACAAGGCGTCATGAATATCATTCACACATATAACATCCATAAACAAACATAATAAGTAATTCATAACGCAGCGGAAAACATTGTTTAAAACAAAAGGCCACACCGGGCTATTCATGAGCACGCAGGCTCTATAATAAAATATCCATGAGCAAATTTATTAATGTTTCAAATAGAATGGAGGAAGCACGAACCAAGTCTTCTCTCCGAGGAATCACTCGATCAACGAGCACAGGATGCAAGCTCTAGCCTCAACCTGAAATGGTGGTGGGACGCCCCCGAAGGGGTCAGTACTCTATACGGCTATAAAGTACTGGTGTGGCAGGCATCTAATAGATATACAACAAGTATTTCAAACACAAGACCCTCAAATAGGGTGATAGTATATTATGATTTGTAACCCTAAGTCACCCATTTGAAAATATACTTACTTTATGTAAAAGTCAAGTAGTCGGCCCGTGGGCCCATGTTCATTTAGAAATCACCATTCCCATTCCCCGTGGCTACAAACCACGACAACTCAATAGAGTCCAACCCGAACACATGACATTGTATTCTAGAGCTCGGCTCTACCACATCACCATGCAATTCATGTCACTCGGGTCCATTTCCTTACCTTGCGTTCTAGAGCTCGGCTCTATCACATCACCACGCAAGCCCTAGAGCTCGGCTCTAGCTATTCAATACATAGATTACAAGTCTACCACCTTACCATGCATCCTAGAGCTCGGCTCTATCACATCACCATGCATGAAGGTCCAATTCTTAAGCAACCCTATGCCTAGAATTGACATATCAATAAACTACCATGGGTCATCCTTAAAGACTTCCCACCACTTAACCTTAGTTTCATACTAAGTCATCATACACCCTTGAAGTATATTCAAGTGCATTTCATACAATCCAATCCCTAGGATCAATTCCATCAACAATTTCCAATAATCACTAACTAGTATTTCAATACTATTAAGATTATTGTTATCATGCATATATGCTCATTATTTGTAATCCTCTACATATTTATAATTATGTAGCAGCAACTTAAGTGTTCAATCTCAATACATAAACATTCATTTATGTACCCGCATAATTCATACATGAGTAAAATGTCTATTTCACAAAATAGTTCATTTATAACTCATTTAATCTCATTTTATTCATACATTCTCAAATCATTTCCAATTTCATTCTTTGGCAACTATATCCATATTTCATCATTATATAATCATCATAATCCATAAAAATTATGATTTAGGCATTTAGGTAATCTCATGCTTAACCTACAAGTTGTAAGCAATTAGATGTCAATCCTCACCTCAATTGAGCTTTAAACTTTCCCTTCTTGGTCCAATAGTCAAAGCTTTGGTCAAGGTGGATTTGGAACTGATTCCTTGCTCAAATATGAGTGTTAAACAGCCTCCTCAAAGTGCTAGTTCAACCCTTAGTCGTTGATGCAAAAACAGTCCCTAGAACGGGTGTTTCCCGACGAATTCGTTCCCTAACCTTTCAAGGTTTTGTCTAGGTTAGTATCTAACCTTTCCAACAATTAAAGTCACATAATAATAACATTTTATACACTTCAATCAGTGTATAATAGTTCTTCAATCATTTATATGATTTAGACAATAGAGAGGAAGGTTTTGGATTCAAACTTACTTTGAATACAAAAACGTATTCTGCGAGGTCGTGTTTTGCTCGGTCGATTTGGAAGCCTTCCACTACTCCGATTGATGCAAACCAGACCTTCACGGATTCCTCGTCTTGAGAGCTTTCTGTTGGTATCTCGCACGCCTTATTTGGATGAGTAAATCTCAAGTTATGGCTCAAACAATCAGAGCTACGCACTGAAGAACGAACCTGCGGACTGCTCTCCTCCTTCCTTCTCTTTTGGGTTGTGTGGATTCCCTTGCTCTCTTATCTCTTTGGGGGTTCGAATGGG